CCCATTTCGTTTTGCACCTCTCGGACATCCATTCCAAACAGACAAGATCTCAACAAAAAGTTTTTGGCAAGTACCCCAAGGGATTAGAATGCGATCGTAGTAATTTTCTGTTTGAGTTTCCCAAAATCTTGCATTGCAGCAGCTTTTGACAAACTGCTCTCTATTGTTCCTGTTTCAAATGCCATGACTTATACTACACCCAAAAGAAAGACCTATTTGGAAGGATGAACATTATGGAATCTCGCCTCGAAAACTATCAAAAAATTCAAAAAACCCTGTCAAAAAGAAGGATAGATTCGTGTGACAGTTCCTAACACACCAAACCTTTAGAAGTATTGCAAAATCACAGCGCGTAATTTTGGTGTCACTTAACCATAGTATGACCAATATGTGTAGATGCATACAGCAAATTTTAAACAAGACTCCGTTGTGCTATGAAAATTTGGTCAGGGAATCCCCAATAAATCACTCGTCTATGGACTGTTTGATTTTGTTTGAATTTGTAGAAGAAATAAGTCACCATTCAATTCTGGTCTCAAGGAAGAAGTGAATTAGTCTCCGTTCCCAACATTATTATCCACTATCACTAGAAGAAATCGTCTTCCTAAAACAAGCTTAGAATTTCATATTACAATGAATATAGGAGAGTAAGACAGTCGAGACAGTATTAAGAATTATTGCTAATATTTAACCACATACGGTCTTACATTTTCCTGCTTCCTTGCAACTCTGTAACTTTTCGGTTTCAAGACTGCCACATTATTTTTGATTTCCCGTTACCTTAAAACGTACAAAGCATAACTGGTCGAAAATATTGGATTTGCAAGGTTTTGATTATTCTTTGCTGTGGGTGGCACCACTCTGCATTCCACTCATGAGCTGGACTCACTAGGTTGCTCATGCCCTTTGAAGCGCTTCTGGAGGCGGCCCTAGGCCCGCTGGTGCTGGTGTGCCTCGTCCTCCTGATCCTGGACCTCGACGGTGACGCTCTCCAGGATGGGCGACTGCACGCTACTGCCCGCGTGCATGGTGGGCGACTTGAGGGACTTGGTGGACGTCGCGGAGGCGTTGGAGCTGCCCGCGGACTCGGGACGCGAGCCATGACGCGACCCTGGAAGAGCCAATGTAATTGTCATATCATCTCCACATAACAATTATTCATCCATATTATTTTGATAAAAAGTAGATCATCACGCAATCGCTATTTTTTTCATAAACTATATATTGTGAACAAATAAACATGCTATGTTAGTCCTTAAACTTTCTTTACGCCTACTCTCGATTAAGATTTGCCTCACCGTTGGCGCCCGGTGAGTGGGGCCTGAGCGAGGCCATGGAAGGCTGCCTGGAGGGCCCTCGCACCGAGCCACGCGAGCCCCGGCGCTCGTCCTTGTGCTTGTCCTGCTTGAGCAGGGACGCGTTCATCAGCCGAGGATTGGGCGTGTTAAAGATGGTGCGGTTGTCTCGCCACCTGGCCCTAGGGGAGGAGGAGAGAGGCACGGATGTTACGAACCACGTGGGAAAAAAGGAATAACTGTATAGCTAAACTACTCGCTAAACGAGGGAAAAACTAATTATTCACCTCTGTGGCTATATAGCTAAAAATGGCTATGTAGCTAAGCATAGCTAAATTGTTAGCTACATTGTTAAATTTAGCCACATTGCTAAATTTTAGCGACATAGCTGAATAATTAGTTGTCTCTCATTTTTTTTTGTCGGCGGAGAAGGGTGTTTCCTGCCGTCAGGTACTCACTGGCTGAAGAGCCTCATGACGACGCACAGTGTGATGAACATGAGCCCCATGCCGACCAGGACGCCGATCATGGTGGGGTCGATGCCGGGCAGCTCTGGCTCCGGCTGCTGCATCACTGTGAGAGGAAACCAATTACTATCGGAAAAACAGAATGAGGGAGACAGGGGCGGAACAATATGAAAAAAAAAGAGAAAAGGCAAAAAAAGGGGGGCTTGAAAGGTGTCACGAACAGATGCTGTGACACCCCGCCGCCGCCCCGGTGTAGAGTAAAATGGGGGCAGGGACTGGAACAGAAACGGTGGGTGGGGGTGGGGGAGGGGGGCCGTGGTCAACCAATCTCATCAAAGGCTCTCCCCCTGTCGTATCCCTACTCTGGTCCGCGCTGCCAGACAGCCACCCCTGAGCTGTTGTCCCAGCAAACAGTACATTATCAATCTGTTTGTTTAGGGGGCAGCCAGCCTCAGTCATTGTCCATGGCGGGTTACGCGGGCCTGTCCAAAGTGGACCTAGCTCCCCCTCCCCTCTCCCCTGGCATCGCTCCGTCACCGCGGGATGCAAAAGCTTTTTGCCAACGCCGCCGCACGCCGCTGCGGGAAAGGACGGAAGCAAGCGACACGGTGTTAACTATTCAGGTGGACATAAAAGTGCCCTGCCCGTCCCGCCCGTCCCCAGACTGGTGGGTTGGAGCCGGGCGGGGCGGGGCGGGGTCTGCGGCTACCACACGCACGCGCACATCCTGCTTTACTCATGTCTCATGAATTGCAGGTCTGCATCCAGTCCAGGGGGCCCTGCTATCATTGCGGTTCTTGAAAAGGCTTATTAACTCCATCGTAGTTGGTGCGGTATGCCCCGCGCTCGTCTCCGCGTTCTCTCGTTAATTCTTCCGCGTGTGACAACGCTGCCAACTCTCATGGCTGGTCGGGGTGTCCCCCCCGCGCCCCGGGCTTGGCTCGGCAGTATGTCACCTCCGTCGTGCGGCTCTGGCACTTGTCCAGCACCACTGGGGCCCGGGGACGACCCCAACGGGGCTGTGGGTGCCGCCGTCCCAGACAGCCTCGTTGTGGAACCCGCCGCAAAGCCCCAGGAGGGGCTACACTAGGAAGGTCACGAGGCGTGGCATGGCGTTTGTGCGATTGCAATCGTTTCTAGGCGTCCCCACCCCTCCACGCCAAATCCCACTCCCTTATTCCCCCCCCCCAAAAACAACAAAAAAAACAACAAAAACCAAACCTCCACCCAGTCTGTTTTCCGCACGAGAATCGGCCAGGGATTTTCATCCAGATGGCTACGCATAGATAGCCGGTCGTACTTTCTGCCCCACTGCCACAGGCCGTACGGCTGGGGTCCTATCAGCGTGCTCAGGCCTGGTGTGTCACTGGGCCGGCCGGCTGGCACTCATCCACGCCCAGAAGCAGGCAGTCGAGCCAAATGCTGCGCCATTCCAGCCCTTCCCCTCCCTTTCCTATTCCCGCCTTGCCCATCACTAGGCTTTCGGAGTTTTTTTATGCTGGCCTCTCATGCTCAAACATATTTTCTTTACCAAAAAAAGGTATCATTTTTAGCCTTTCTTTCCTTTTCCGCTTGCTAAGAGCCGTTGAGCGGGCTTCGGGATCATCCAGAAAATACGCCCGTTTTTCTCGGATCAATTCAATTACGGGGCATATTACGGGGACTCTGCGCCTACGAGACTCTGGGTAGGCCACCCCACAGTACCGCACTGCAGGCAAGGCTAGATGATGCCTACCTATCAGGCGCTATGAAAGCCTGCAGGCTGAACTTGGCAGGTTCCTAGCAGACAATGACGGTCGTAGGCTAAGTTACTTTCTGGGTGACTCCTTATGGGAACGACCTGATGTCTGTCTGCAACGTGTGTTTCTAGGTTTATCTGTTCTAGTTGGGCTACAGACTTTGAAATTTGTATTGACTGACCACGAAACTGACGCCACCGCTGAGCAATGAGCAGGGTTCAGGAGGATCTAGGCTCGGCGGTCACGATGTTCCTTAGGTGCCAGCTTTTGTTCCAACCTAATACCCCTTTGAGACAAACTTCAGCAGTATACTTACCGACGCACTCCAGGCTGCCGTCTTGGTTGACGACGGGGGTCCTCTCGAAGCGGCAGACGCAGCGGCTGTCGCGGCACTCGGTGGCCAGGAGGTGCTGCTCGCACTGGTCGTTGAAGAAGCACGACTCGTTGACCGCCGCCGCTGCAACATCGTCACGCACCGTCAGAATAATGTGCACACATTTGTTTAAAATTGCATTGCAGTTTTTTCTTTCTAATTAATTGCAGCGTTTTGACATACCACGCGGATATTCACCCGTCTGTTTTTTGTTTTTATTTTTAAATAAAGAATGGGGTGAAATGACCTACACAGCGAAAAGGTCTCTGGAGCGCGGGGGATATGTCCGAGCGGAAAGGTTTCCCCTGGGGGTGTGCGAGCGCGCTCAGGGTAACACCTCCTCTCAGGATTTTTTTCGTCAGCAATCAGCAATGGGCGGGTGCGAGTTTCTGCGTGGGGGTGCCCCCCCCCCCTCCCCCATTTCCCCGATTCACCCCCACCCGCCCGGGCCGGGGAATAACACACACTGTTTGCTTTGACCGTCACCCCAATTAGCTAGCGCCGGAGCGCTGGCCGGGCGGGCTCCGGCTGGGCTCTGACCGTCGTGACCGCTCCGGTCCCTTTGCCCGAACACTGACGCTCACACACACACACACACACACATACACACAACCTTGTCTAATTAAGGAACAGGTGATGTCCCTCCGTCCCTCCCTTGGGCGCCGCTGCAGCCGCTGTTCTCAGGTCATCCCCGCCGACCCCTTCCCCTCCTCGTCCGCCCCTCGCCCGCCCCGCCCGTCCCTCGTTCAACGCAGCCAGAGCGACTCCAGGCGGACAGGGCTCTTTGAGCAGCAGACCCTTCTCCTGCCCTACCCGTCCTGGGGCCCGGCAGCGCCGGAGCAGACCTTCCCGGCTGCGGAACTGATTCCTTAAACACCCCTCCCCACCCCCTGCCATTTGTTTAAGGCCCTCCCCTTCCCACCCTCGGCCAGCCCGGCTAATGGGCCGCTAGTCGTGCTGCAGCCGCAGGGGACCTGCGCTGTCTGTAAGTGGTCAACCTTTGCCCAGAACAGAGTTGCGCTGGCCTCGCCCACCGCCGTCTGTCTAAGGCTCGCGGAAATAACCACCCTATCGAGAACATTATTGCACGCACACTAAAATCTTATGAACATTTTTGTTCATAGTTACTGAGTTCTGTAAACATGCTCGGCTTACGCATTTTTTAATGCGCCAGTATGAATAAATTTGTGCATACTGGCGTATTAAAAATGCGTAAGCCGAGCATGTTTACAGAACTCAGTAACTATGAACAAAAAAGTTCATAAGATTTTAGTGTGCGCATCTATGCACTGGAAAAATAAAAAGTAGGGATCAACACCTTTCTTGGGGTGCTGATGACTTTCGTGCCTATACAGAGATCACAAAGATTCCTGATTTGCACCCCTGGAAAGGCACGAAAATGCCCGAAAATGCCCCAGTAAGGTGCTTAATTTTAGTGCCTTTGGAGACTTTCGTGCCTTTCTACAGGCATTATAACTGAGCACCTTTAACACGTAGAGTCCCAGGGGGGTCCTTTTTTGCATGCTATTGTGGCCATACGTGTGGTCATGTGGGACTCAAAGTGTTAAAAGGCACTAACTAAGTCCTACCTTTGTTTTCCCAGTGTGGCTAATTCGGAAGGAAAGGGCATATAACTAAAACTAAAATAATTAACAAGAAAGTTAATTTTAAATAGTGTAATGTAATTAGACCGACCAGACACCGTTGCATATATCGCATTGCATATGCAGTGGTCCTCCGAAGGGGTTTCACATACGGGACGGGGCGCAGGTACACCAGGAGTACTTTATGGTGAGAACCCCCGCAAGGTATGTGCTGCAGGGTGGGAACGTCAGCCCACTGCTCGCAGCGTACCCAACCGGGAGCAACCACGCGAGCAACCCCCTGCTCCTTGCACCCCCCAGGCGACGTGTGGCTAACCGAGGGAAGAAATATCTCTGTGCTCCGTCGCTGCTTCGCGCACTCTGAGCAATGTGCCAAAAATGTTCAAAAATTTACAGAGGTCTCTTTTTAACAAAATCTTTTTTCATTGAAATTTTTGTTCATTATCATTGTGGAAACAAACTTTGCACTGTAAAAATTATGTCTGTTAATTCAAGTAGATTGCTTGAAATCCAAGTAATTTTTACTTGAATTCCAAGGAATATTCTTGGATTACAAGATATCATTTTTACCGTGTGGTAACCCACTCTAAAAGCATAAACAAAAGCGACAAAAGCAGTCTTAAAATCGCGTCTGTTTCTATTTCAACTTATTTGAACACGTTCAGTGCGTTTTTGGTGTCCATGATTTAACATAGGAGCGTGGCCACATAGTGAACATAGTGAACTGCTTGTTGATTGTAGTGCATTCGGTTATGTATTTCTATTTTTCATTTCGTCCATGGACGTCAACGAGACTGCGGAATACGAGGCGAGCCCGGCAAGCTCGGCCTGCTTTGTCCCATGAAGATCCCTCTCCCCCCTCCATTTTCCCCCTTTCTTATTCCTCCCCGTAGTAAGTTTGCGCTTTGATTTCGGGTTGTCGCCCTAGCATTGGGTAAATGAGGTCTCATCGCGGCTCAGCTCTGACCCAGATCGCCCCCCCCCTCTCCGTTTCTGCCCCCTCCTCCGACCATCACCCCGGGGGATGCCCAGGCCTAATTGCGAGGTACGTAGCGTTGGCATTATAAGCTTGACCGCCTTCGAAAAAAGAGCAGGAAAGGGGGTGAGGGGGTCTGATGAGGGACAAGGGGTAGGGGGCAAGTAACAAGCGAAACTTTTCCCCAAAGTTGTCGCCCTGTCGTGCCCCTGGGCCGAGCCGAGCTGGGTCGAGGGGCTTGGGGTGGCGGCTGCGGGCATGGTGCTGCGGGACTTGACGAAGCGGAACTAAAGCCATTCATAGAACTGGAATTATAGTGTAGATTACGCCATTATTCCGTTTTCCCTTCCACTGCCCCCTTTTTTTATTTTTCTCTCGATTTTTCTCCCACCACACCCCTCTTTCTCTCGCGCCAATATGGCGTCATATTTCTTTTCCTCCCCGTCCTCTGAGACACGTTTCTTTCCCGTAGTGTCGCTGACGCGCCACTGTCTGTGGGACTGCCGCAGTTTAATTTATAATAAATGTGACTCACGCTTGCCGCACTTGTCGATGTGGTTGGTGGCGGGCAGGTCCGGCGAGCAGCGACACGTCTTCGCCTTGCCGTCGCATATGGAGCCCTCGAAGCGGCAGTCGCTGTTGGTGTCGCACTTGTCGCCGAACTTGCCCGTCCCGCGTTTCACGATGACTGGAATGAAAAAGAAAGTCTTAGTTAGTCCTCATTTTTTTTAAAATGCTGTTTATTTATATTATGGAAACAATAATGTAAATCACAGCGTAGGATAATAGTAATGACCATAATATCTCGCCATATTCTGAGTAAACCGAATTTTACTTTTCAACAAAGAAGCAGAAGTTGTGCTGCGGCTCCATCCCTAGCGTCGACGGCCTAGCAGTATCTGAGGAGGTGCGTCGCAGCGAGACGGTGTTTTGCGAGACATTTCGCGAAGCCTGCGAGACGTTGTACCTCTGCCATAGGTCAACAATACACGACACGTTGTGTTGTGACGTTGGGTATTTTTTTTAAGCCCGTCGTTCTCTCCTTTTGTTTCTTTTGTGTGGAGTGGTGGAAATGTTTTGGTGCGACGCGAGATGGGGGCGACGAGACATCCCGCCCACTAGGATCCTGACAGCACCAGGTGCGAGGCAGAGGGCGAGTCTGAGCATCTGAGGGTATCAGTCGGTGAGAATCAGAAAGCTCCCCCTCCTCCTCCGCATCCTATATCCTCGGCGGGTGGGACGGCCAGGGCCAGGCCCCGGTGGCGCCGAGGTGGCCAGTGGCCACTGCCCCCGCTACAGCCCGGAGCGGGCGAGGAGCGGCGGGCTGACATTTTTGTGGTGGGGCCCTTCGCCGCGTATGACGGCCAGGGTATTAGGGGGCAGAGGTAGTGGAGAGTGGGGAGGACAGGAGGTGAGAAGTAAGAGAGAGCAAAGGGGAATGTATGAAGGAAGGGGGGGGGCAAGTCCCCGACGACTGACCACATATTTTCGGCATTGTTCTGCCGCCGAACGGGGCCTTAAAAAAGTAGAAGGGGAGTCCTTTTCGCGTTGTCGGCGCACTGTTCACCTCCTCTCGGTCCGTGTGGAGGGGGGATTAGAGTAGGGTTGAGGGGGTGGGAGGCGAAGGTGGTGGCCGTAACCACCCCCTCCTTCTCCTGGGGTAAGTTAGGAGTCGGGCCCCACCGTGCAGCAGGCGCCTACCGTAATGCTCCGTCCCCACGGTCCGGCTCGGCCCGGAGTGTGCGAGAGGGGGTGGGGACGTAGAGAGGGGTGATCACTCCCCCGATGACGGACGCGGAGGTAAACACGCTTAGCCGCCCGCTCGTGGACATTGGCTGAAAAATTGACTCGTAATCGGTTGGGCCATTCGCGGGTCGGCCCCACATAGTGGTGGGTGGTGGGTGGGTGCAGTGAAGGTGGACGGGAGGGAGTGGGTTACAGAATGGTCAGATAAATTTACGATCCTTAATAGGCCCGTGTAATAAAAGAGGTGGCGGTTGCGGCGCCCGGCGCAGGGGAATGCCGTGGCGCTGTTGGAACTGTGTTGTATGTAAATGTGTCAGCGCGGTCACTCGTATAGCAGCGGGGGGTGGCGGCGGGCCACGGCAATGTGGGTAGATTGTGGTCAGGCGCGCGCGCGGCGGACCCGGCCGCATGGGCTTTCATAATACTATGCCCGTGTATACACTGTGAAAATGATAGGTTTTGCACAAGGCGGCGATAGAGTCTAGTGTTTTAAAAATACCGGTAAAGTTAAAAGTGGACTTTACTTTACGTAAAGTACGGTATACACTCTAAATGGGGAGGGACAATTTTTGTACCTTAGTTAGATGTGTCTTTGAGCACATCTTCATCAGATAC